GACTGGCCAATCGGAGGGCCCGGCTCTGCTCCGTAGACTCTCATGGTTTCAGATTGTCTTCATTTTCAGGCTGGTGGGTTTTGAGCTAGTCATGGTCAAAGGAGCTCTATTTAACATTCAGATCATTTATATATCTTCAAACAAATATCGTCTGTAAAGATAGTGGAGCTCTGCACTGCGCTATAGTGGTCAAGTAAACACTGTTGGCTTTGTCAGCACTTTTGTCTAAGTCTGCACTGTTAGCGCCGTTAGCTATGGACCGTCGGCTCGTGGAGAGTTGTTGGAAGACGATCGAAAAACTCCCAATCTCGCATCTTTAAGCGTTGTGTGATAGTGATACTTGGGAGGTTGCAAGGAGATATACGCTTCTAAAATGTAACAACCTGTGGAGCTAACATTAGCAGAGTACCATAGCATATGTTCACCATCTTAGTTTAGTTTGCTTTAGCATGCTAACATTAGCTAATTAGCACTAAACACAAAGTACAGAATGTCATAGATAAACCGGAAGTTGCCCCTCGAGGAAAAATGTGCATAATTTATCTTCTGTGCATGTTATCAATCATGGTAATCCATCCAAATAAATTGCACATTTTGGAACTTGGTCATTTCATCTGTACAATGTGAAAACGTTCAGACATAAACCATCTTCTCGTGGTTGCGAAAGTGAGCCTCACACCCTCACACTAACATAAACAAGCCAGCATGTATGAATACAGCAGGTTGGTCAAGAGGCCGCTTTGCAGTTTGCTTCAATCCAGTTGATTCTGCTTTCGGTTGAACTCAAAGACGAAGTGGTCGAGATTGAAATGTTTAATCTACAGTAAATCTTTGTTGTTTCCTGAGAAAGCACGATGCTCTCTGCCTTGATCAATGCTGCAGGCTGTATGTCTCACATCTTTATGACCTAGCTGGTGAGTTATCATGTTATCATGACTAATAATCACAAAGGTATGAGAATAACAGCCGGGTTTATAGATACTGGAATTCCCCTTTTAGTGTTGCAGCCTTTTCTTGTGAATTACAAATCATTGTTACAAGAAAACTGCAAACGGCAGAAATGATGACGGACACACAGCAAGCATCAGGCTCAGTGGAGATAGAAGACTTTAAACATGTTATAAATGTGGCTACATTTATACTTTATCATACTTTCATGTGATTATTGAGTGCCGCTCGGTCTCCAGGCTGCACCGGCTGGTTCAGGCTAATTTATTGCCCTTTTTTTAAAAACAGGCAAAGAAGGAAAAAGCTTTTTTTGTGTTTGACGAATCTCTCCTTTCTCTCAGACTGACCCTCAAATGTTGGAAATGCTGATGCATCTCCACAGACCCACACCTGCACCCACGTCCACGTTGAACGATCACATCAGAAGGACGAGAAGGAGGCCGTCTCTGTTGCGATGGTGGAGCCGGCTCGGGTCGCCTCCGTTTGATGACCTTCCAGCTGCCCTTTCTCCTCTTCAATATTCAAGCCACGGAGAGAGCATTTGCATCGCTACCATGAAATATGGATGCTGTGTGGAAGGAAGAGAGACGGGCGAACTCTCACTGCCACAAGAGAAGCGGACAGAAAGAGAAACCGATGAAGCGGTGTGTCAAAAAGTGAGTTTAAAACGGTGATATTCCCCCGTCTTTGTATCAGCCACTTCTTTTTAACTTTCTCGTCTGCCATCTGAATTCAAATCATCGCCGGGGACTTAGAGGAAAGTTTGACAGAGGAATGTGAAGCACAGCTAAACTGGGAAGAAAAAGAGGGGGAGCAGGAGAGTGTGTTCAATGTGTGTGTTCAGTGTGTGTGTGTGTGTGTGTGTTTGAGAGGAATCAGAGAAAGTGTCCTAAAAAGACAGGGGGAGATTGGTTTCACCTGCACTACAGTGTTTAGATAAACTCCAGCAGCAGGCAGCTGAGGACTCAGCAGAAATGAAACAGGATGCAGGTTCAACTCAGCACTTCAAAGACAACTTAAGAGTTGAAGAAACTCCAATTATTTGAGTCACTGTAGCAAAAATAGCCCAGTCGCCAGGAAAACACATTGGCATTGTAGGCATCTGCGAACCACGATTACATTGAATGTACTGTTTTTATAAACGGCGGTGTTAGCTACCAAATCCATTTTTTGTACCAGGCTGCAAACGTGTTTATTTCTGCTGTAACGTTGAGGACTTTGGGGATTGACTCACTACTGGAGCCTCAAGTGTTCATCTGAGGTACTGCAGTTTGTGACACTTTCATGTTTGGCTTCGTTTCTTAGCTCCGGAGGTTGCTGCTTGGGGTTGACGTATTACAACAAGCGACACACAGAGCAAGCGATGTAGTTAGTATATTGAGCGGGCATTATTGAGAAGTTATGTGGTGTAGTAACAAATATAAAGAGTGAGAAAGTCACACAAATACAGGACTTTGAGCCAGGAAGCTGCTGTTCGTGTACGAACACGTAAAACCAAAAGTCACCGTTGTTACGTTACACCGTTCCATTCTGTTGTTAAAGTTCCGTTGTTACCGTTACTTTTTTTACCCTTACGTTGTCACTGTTAACAGTTCCTTTGTTACTGTTACGTTGTCACGTTATGTTACATTACGTTATGTTGTGTTATGTTGTTACATTATGTTGTTGTGTTATGTTGTTATGCTACCCTGTTATGCTACCCTGTTATGATACGTTGTTATGCTACGTTGTTACATTAGGTCGTTATCTTATGTTGTTACGTTCTTTTAACACAAACCATATTTTTTCTAACCTCAACCAAGTAGTTTTGTTGCCTAAACCTGACAAATGTTTTCACAATGTTGACAGCCTCACATTGTGCGTTGCTACGAGGCTGACATGAAACGTATTTTTGCTTCAGAAACATAGACCGGTTGCGGACATCTTTTTTAGAAACTTGGTTGAGTACAAGCCATAAATTTGATCAAAAAGATTCTCTCATGGGAGTTTTCCCACCAGTTAGCACATCCTGCTACATGATGCTGTTCATCAGAGTCGAGGAGAGGAGACAGAAGAGTGGTCATGTGGAAAGGAAGTGGGAGTGATATGACGGCTGTAAAGGTCACCAGGAACTGCTCCACTTGTTCATCCACCGTCACTCATCCAGTGAAGAGACTGTATACTCTTCACTGCCTTATTGTTCACTGACTGTGAACATACACGACAAAAACCTTCAACTCTCCAAATCTAAAACAAATATCACAAAGAGGATCGAGAGTTCCTGTTCCTGTAAACAGCACATTTGTTGCAGGAGGGTTGTGAGTGATATGTGAACTGAAACTAAGATAGTAAGAAATCAAAACACCTCCTGAAGGCCGCGTTATGATGAATGTCATGAACATTTCAAATCTCACGCAAATCAGACACGTTACCTTTGAATTAATATTGTTGCTTGACAGGTTTCTCCACCTTTTTGAATACATCTCCTGCTCATTTAAATCACCTTTGTTTAAACATAAATCCCATTTCAGATTGGATGTATTTATGGGAGGAGGGATGATTCTAACATTACCTCTGCTGGTCAGTGATTTTAATCTTGTCCCGAGCATTTATGTGGGTACATTTTAACCCCCACCTTAGTAACAGTCACAACTACTCACCTCCTGTTTTTCGGCAAACTCGCTGGTCCTCCTCCGTCACCGTATCTTAACTTGTTGTTGCTGGCGGCTCTGTGAGGCTGGACTACGACACAGCAGCGCTTTGAGCTAAACGCTAATATTCACAACGACGGTGCTGACAGACTGATATTTAATACTTACCATGTTCACCGTCTTAGTGTAGCGTGTTTGCATGCTAACATTCGCTAATAAGCTGCACCTGAGGGCTCATGGGAATGTCGTTATTTTTGTAAATATTTGGCCATAAACCAAAGGAGCAGTGTGGGATTTAGTGGCATCTAGTGGTGGGGTTGCAGATTGCAGCCAAACAAATTCCCTTTCCGCTCACTCCTCCCCTTCGTGTCGGAGAACTACGGTGGCCTTCAAGTAACTAAAAATGTGAAAGTCTCTGTAGAGCCAGTGTTTGGTTTGTCCATTCTGGGCTACTGTAGAAACATGGTGGACTCTGTGAAGAGGACCGGCTCCCTATTTAGATATGAAGGGCTCATTCTAAGCTAATGAAAACACAACAATTCCTAGTAAGTAAACATTGTTGTTGCTGTATTTTAATTAAAGAATCTCATCCCTTTTGTAGTCCGGCTAATTTGTCCTCACTGTACAGAATAAACCCATAAACAGTTTCTGTACTGTGTATTCTGCCCAGACGCATACCCTCATGATGTCAGAGTGACTCATGGAGAAACGTCATTTTGTGTCTGGAGCACCTGCAGCTCACCGTCCCGGTGTTCTTAAAGCCGAGAGGGAAACCACATCTGAGAACACAAGGAGGATAATAACTGTTTACGTCCAAAGCCGGAGTCACGCGCACGGCTTTCCAAAAGCAGCTATTGTCATAGAGAAGTAAGCCCACAACAACATACAGAGGGAGTCCCGATACCAGTGTGTGTGTTGTACACAGGTTTAGAATACTTGTTGGCATTAACTCAGCGTGAGACATGTTGTCTCAGATTATGGGCTTCCTGTTTAAAGACCACAGAGCAGCTTTGACTGTTTACACTAATAACCTGCAGTAAATCTATCATGTCGGGACATTAAATGCTTTGTAGCTTATTAAGTTTGTCTTGTGTTATAGAAGAGGTCCTGTCAGAAGCTGCTGGAGCACTTTTGAAAGACATTTCAATAATTCATAACAAAAACAAATGTTTTTGAAAGAGGCACATTGAACACATGTGTTTTTAATACCCTTCCATCTTTTCCTGTCTGCTCCACTTTCTAGGAAATTCCTGTTTCTCCTGAAATCTCAGAGCAGGTTTGGGCGGTTCTCCTGTTTACCTTTTCCTCTGGCCCCGCCCCTCTGCTCTGCCACTTCCTGATCACCTTTGCCTGTTAGAGGTGAGCAGGTTCTGAGCTCACACGGTCGGCAGTCTTTCCCCACCGCTTCGGGTCTTAAAGACATTCCCTCAGGACTGGCAGTCGGATACAATTTCTCCTCTTGCAGCCAATCGTCAGACTCAGTGACCGAGGACAAAGTCCTCTCTCCAGAGTCATTTAACACTCCTCTGCCCACCCTCCTCCTCCTCCTCCTCCTCCTCTCTGAATGGTAACGTTACACCCTCTGCGAGGCTTTACCTGTCCAGGTGAACTGCTCAGCTGAAAGTGAACGTCGCTCATGAAGACATGTAAGTAAACTTCTAAACTAGAAGTGTGCTACTTGTCTTAAATGCTGCTTTAGTAAACAACAACATGTGTCAGTAGTTAGAAACATTGATCCAGTGTCTGTTGCTTGCATGAAATTGATTTGCATTGAGTCGCTGTGTGTGTAGAAGACACCGGCTGCCTGTCAGGACGTAGGTGTAGATTTAGATCTCAGACGGTGTTCGGTTCAGTCTGTGCTCGTCCAGTCGGCCATTCTGACACTAGAGGCACTTCAGGGAGCTTCACATCTGCCTGCAGCTGTTCTCCCAGACTGAGGTGTTAGGTCTGGCTCAGACTGGAGGACCCAGAGAGGGACCGGCACCTACATAAGGTCCTCATGTAGAGGTCCTCCAAAGGGGCAGGAAGCTCATCCTGTACGTTCCTTCATAAAGAAACAGGAGGAACAGGAGATTTAATAAATAAATATATATATATATATATAAATCACGCCGAGGAGTAAATGAGTCATGGTGGGATTCTTGATTCTCGTCATATTATTAATCATCAATATACAGAAATGTATTCATTTGATGGATTTCCTCTGTTTGTTTTATTTGACGTGTGTCGTTATGAAATAGATTTCTGCAGAAAGTGAATCGAAAAAAATGGCTTCCTGGAATTTTCAGCGACATGTCTGAACGCGACATGCTATGCTGGTGTGTTGACACACACACACACTTTGCGCTCCGTGTTTATTGAGCTGCTCAGAACTCAAGCCCCTCTGATCTTTGTCTTTTTAATGAGCTGATGATGAAGAGATGCTTTCCAGAGCGACCTCTCCTTCAGCTCTCCCTCAGTGGTGTGAGTGTGGATCCTGTGGTTTGTTTGTAGTCCTGACCATGTGAGACCTCGCCTGCTAGAACTACAATGACCAGCTGTGTGTGTGTGTGTGTGTGTGTGTGTGTGTGTGTGTGAATAAAAAGGAGTGGTGCATATGTCCACAGCAACATGTTAGTTCAGCGTGGACGGCCGAGAGTGCCGACGCAGACACGTTGGCCTCGTCATCGTCGGGGTCGTTTTTCACGCTCTGTCGTTAGGAAGAAAAGAAAAAGAGCTAACTCGGCCTTGTGTCATTATTAACTTGTCACAGATTACAGGAGAGAGCCTCATCTACATCTGTGTGAGGAGGAAGGTGTAGACAAACAGCTGTCACTAAAGACAAAGGAAACGCTTTGAACTGGATTTACAATCCAAACACTGATTTTTATCTCACTTAGTGAGACAGAAACGAGGGCAAAGCTCCCAAACCTCACGTGTCTCGTGCTCCTTGTATTGCGTTGCAGGTGTAGCTGTCTATTCAGGGATTAGGACGGCTGCTCTGGGATTAAGACGGATGCTCTGGAGGCGCGGGAGTGTCCTCCGTGTGAAAGTCTCTGAGTTCGTGGGTGTGTCGGGCCGCGTGTAGCCACATGTATGTGTGTGCAGGTACAAGTTGACAGCAGCCAATGTTTTATCTTCATTCCAATTATAAAAAGGCTAATCGGATCCAGTCGGGCTGTGAGACGTCGTCCATTTTGTTTCAGGTTCCATTGTGATCTTTTTACTGTATTCTTTAGTGAGTTTCCCGGGAGAGAGAAGAGAAGAAGCTTAAAGGAGATTATGTTATCTGTTCACATCAGGAATTCAGAGCGAGAATATCAAACCGCCTTCATTTTTCATTTTCTTTAACTTTTAGTCTTTTATTTCTGCTCCTGCTGGCAGATATTTCTCTTTCTATTCCTCTTCTGTCTCCGGTTGTCTTCCCTGTGTAGTGATGAAAGATCAGACCTCAGACGCAGCGGCAGGTGCCGCCGTCTGTGATGAATCAGCCGCGTTGCCGCGAGCTCTCGGTGGGGAAGCTGTTAAGTCGGCTCAGCCTCGTCTCAGTCCTCGGCCTCGAAGACACGGAGCTTAGATGGCTGTCACAGCTCGCCGCGCGCCGTCCTCGCGCTGCTTCTGTGAAGAGAGAGCCAGGACGGCCTGTTTGTTTTGACAACTCGGCGGGTTACTCTGCATATTTGTTTGCTGTTGAAGTGCGCGGTCATAGTCGTCTGCATTTGCATTTTAGGACACACGTCAAAGTGTATTGAGTGTTTTTATTTAGGGGATGGGAATGTGTCCCGTTAACCCTCTGAACCTCCAAACAGTTTGGGCATTTCTTTTGCACATTTGACTCTCTGTGGTCTTGTTTTTCACTGCAGCACACAGTACAAGTCCTGCAGCTCTATAGAAACAGAGCAACCATGACTAGAAGCAGAGAGAACTTAGAGAGAGAGGAATGTCTGTCACAGTTACAGTTAAGTTTTTTTGATACGTTTTTTTACAAAAATTGGAAAACGCTGGAATTTATACAAACAACATTGTTTAAAGTAAATGTTTTGAAGAAAAAAATGGAGGCTCCACGTTTTTACAACCTGGACTGAGAACCTCTCCTCTCTGTGTTCAGCAGCCTGCAGCTGACTTGTTGTCACGTGACTGTTGGTCTCAGATGAGTCAATCATGGCTTCATAGTTCAGCTGAGGAGCTCACAATCAAATGTTTTTTACAGAATCTGGTGAAAGCAAACGCTTTATTTGGGGCGAGCAAATTTAGAATTTAGTAATTTTGATGAAATATCACAATGTTCAGCTTCATGTTGGTTGCTTTTTATAACAAAGCCGTTTGTCACACCTCATGTGTTAAAGGACAGAAAGCGATAGTGACGTTTCTAACATGAAAAACATGCTTTTCATCCCAGAGGCCACAGAGCTATCACTTGGATTACATTTATATTAGTCCTGTGTGTGTGTTATTTTTTAGCGAGATCTGTCTCATTAAGACCCGACAGAGGGGCCCTCGCAGAGCGCCAACGAGATGGCTGTTGCCAAGGTGACGTAAGTCTGACTGAGCCCATCTGCTCGTGTCCATGTGCTCGAGGAGCCCGTTGTGGACATGACGTGTCCGCTGGCACGCTCGCAGTGTCGATGTAAACCTGCAAAAAAACAACAACGACGACAATAACAAAGAACCCAGTTTGGAATCCTGTCACATCCCTGAGCCATGATGTGTGTTTGTGATGCAGCGAGCGCCGGAGACTCATCCGCGTCTATCCGCCGCCACACTCCAGTAATACTGATGTCGCTGCATCGAGAGCAGAAGTCTCTGTAGTTGGATATCTCTTCTCTGTGCCAGCAGAGGAAACACAAAACGAATACAGAAGTTTGCAGGACTGCTGCTCTCATCGTGTGAAAGAGAAGCATGTGAATACTTTCACACCCTGTTTACTTGACATGATAAGTGCTGTCCTCCTGTCTTCACTGATGGAAGGCTCATTTGTTCTAGCAGAGCAGAGTATGAAATACAGAAATAAACAGGCGAACTGGAACCATTTAGGGTTCTTCAGCTTGTCCTCACAGGAGAACACTTTGTGGTTCCAGGTAGAACCTGGGTTCTTTTTTTCGGGGGTGTTTTATTTTCTTTATCATAGTGAATACTTTGAGAATGAGAGGAAATAGTGTGAGAGAGAGAGGGGATGACATCAGGCGGCAACCTCCGGTTCTGAAAAGCTTCATGAGTTAAAGCTGCGTTGAGTTTATGGTCTCAATCTCTAGTTTCAAGTCTTCTTCAATACAGCATGATGTTCATTTAGTACATGATGTTCCATTTAGAGTCAAACAGACCATAAAGCAGGGGATGCTTTAGGGCGGGGCTTACTGTGATTGACAGGTCTCTACCAGAGACGTATATGGTGTCTCTATGTCACTCCTCCTTAGTCCAGATATGGTCACTTCCTGTTCACTGGTTGCAAACAAAGAAGATGGTGACGGCCAAAATGCCAAACTCAAAGCTTCAAAACATCAGTCCACAAACGTCATGAAGTGGATGAAGTGGACGTAGTCGCCATGACACCTCTTTCACTTCTTATATACAGTCTGAGGACACGTAGCAAAAGAAAGTCTCTAAATCTCACTGAAGTGTTACTTGTTGGGTGATTGTGTCTTATATTAAGTGTATTTTGACAAGTAATAAGACAAATACTATTTGGTAAGATTATGCAGTATTTTCTCACTGTTGTATTAATACTTTTACTGAATAAAGGATGTAGTGCTTCCTCCTCTGCCTCTCTTACACTCCGGTCCTCTTCCTCTCTCACACAGATCTCCACAGATCTCTGCTGCTCATGACCTCCTCCCTGGATCCAGCAAACCTTCCTGAGTCCAGATGAGCATCCAGGAGGAGAGCGCACAGCCCGAAGGCGCCGCGGCGATGGCCGGAGCGTCGGCCCTGCCCCTTTCCCCCTCAGACTACGGACTTGTGTCTCCGCCTCTGGACCTGTGCGCCGCGTGCGGCCACTGCCACCAGCTGGAGGAGAACCACGAGTACCTCTACAAGGACGAGGTGGACGACGACCTCGTGTGCCACATCTGCCTGCAGGCGCTCATCCGGCCCCTGGACACGCCCTGCGGACACACCTACTGCCAGGAGTGCCTCACCAGCTTCCTGCTGGAGAGCGACTTCTGCCCCGTGTGCCGCGCGCCGCTCATGCTGCAGAGCTGCAGGAAGCCCAGCCTGCTGGTGCACAAGCTGCTGGACAAGCTGACCGTGGCCTGCCCCTTCACCGACCACTGCGCCGTGACGCTGGCACGAGGTGATCTGGAGGACCACATCAAGAGCAGGTAGGACGGGAGAAGCAGATACACTCAGAACATACAGGCCTTTACCTAAAGGTACCGTTAGGTCGTTAGTACTCTTATCGACACTGATTATCAGTTTGGTTCCTTATCGATACACTTTTTGATGATAAGAAAATAATCTACATTTCTTTATTATTCTTGTTTGTAAACAAAAGTCTTTCTTGAGCAGCAAATACAAGAAGTTCAGAAATCTTTAAAACACATTCTCATCTAATCAATGATCTCAGTGATTATCTCTCATTGATCCTGTTCTTCTGATCAAACTCCGTATGACATCACCAACGTATGACATCACTACTGTTACCTGGCGGCTGCTCCACAGACAGACTGATGTTCTGCTTGTTGGTCACATGTTGTGATGAACTTACTTGTGAGGG